TGGCAAAACCCTTGTTGGCAATCACAGAGGTCAGACGTTTCTTGTAATTGGCCACCAGGTTTGCACACATCTCAGGAGGGATTTTGTCCCACTCCTCTTTGCAGATCTTCTCCAAGTTATTAAGGTTTCGAGGCTGACGTTTGGCAACTCGAACCTTCAGCTCCCTCCACAGATTTTCTATGGGATTAAGGTCTGGAGACTGGCAAGGCCACTCCAGGACCTTAATGTGCTTCTTCTTGAGCCACTCCTTTGTTGCCTTGACCGTGTGTTTTTGGTCATTGTCATGCTGGAATACCCATCCACGACCCATTTTCAATGCCCTGGCTGAGGGAAGGAGGTTCTTACCCAAGATTTGACGGTACATGGCCCCGTCCATCGTCCCTTTGATGCGGTGAAGTTGTCCTGTCCCCTTAGCAGAAAAAAACACCCCCAAAGCATAATGTTTCCACCTCCATGTTTGACGGCGGGGATAGTGTTCTTGGGGTCATAGGCAGCATTCCTCCTCCTCCAAATACGGCGAGTTGAGTTGATGCCAAAGAGCTCCATTTTGGTCTCATCTGACCACAACACTTTCACCCAGTTGTCCTCTGAATCATTCAGATGTTCATTGGCAAACTTCAGACGGACATGTATATGTGCTTTCTTGAGCAGGGGGACCTTGCAGGCACTGCAGGATTTCAGTCCTTCACGGTGTAGTGTTACCAATTGTTTTCTTGGTGACTATGGTCCCAGCTGCCTTGAGATCATTGACAAGATCCTCCCGTGTAGTTCTGGGCTGATTCCTCACCGTTCTCATGATCATTGCAACTCCACGAGGTGAGATCTTGCATGGAGCCCCAGGCCGAGGGAGATTGACAGTTCTTTTGTGTTTTTTCCATTTGCGAATAATCGCACCAACTGTTGCCACTCCCTTTAAGAGTGTGCTCCTAATCTCAGCTCGTTACCTGTATAAAAGACACCTGGGAGACAGAAATCTTTCTGATTGAGAGGGGGTCAAATACTTACTTCCCTCATTAAAATGCAAATCAATTTATAACATTTTTGACATGCGTTTTTCTGGATTTTGTTGTTATTCTGTCTCTCACTGTTCAAATAAACCTACCATTAAAATTATAGACTGATCATTTCTTTGTCAGTGGGCAAACGTACAAAATCAGCAGGGGATCAAATACTTTTATTCCCTCACTGTAACACAGGGCCACACGTATGAAATATAAATAGTGACAATGATATTGAAATACATTGGCACAAAACGACCAGTTATGCAAACCAACTAGCAGTAGCCATGGATTGCAGTGTTGAGTGCACAGTGACACATGCATGCAATAACATGATGCTCGTGACACCCAGTGGCACGCGCACAACAAAGCAGTGGCACGCAGTGGCACACCAAGGAGCCACAGGGTGACACATCGCCATCAGAGCGCCACAGGAAACGGCCACAGAGACACGCAGCTGCAGTAATAAACTGTACTCGCGGTGTGACACCAGCTGCACGACAATGACTCGACTGCCCTCAACGCAACAAACGCACGGCAAAAAGAAACACGTGCCCAGTAGCGGCTCACATAAGACACACGCGGCAGTTCCGATTAGCACGGATGGCTACGTACGGTGCGAAAGAGAGTTCAACAAACATACAGAGCACGCGGACACACAGCCAACCGCACACCAAGTGAGACACCGTGAAACAAACAGTTCAACAATGACACACAAAGTGACGCACTGGTACACAGTCACATGGCGAATGTGGAGGCACGGTGCAAGTGGCACACCAGCATCACAGACGGTCACACAAATGCCACTGTGTGCAACTGACGCGGTACCTACACAATGGCAGATTTATACTTACAACACACATAGGTCGGAACTTCGTGCTATATTCCATGCCCCATTTAAAGTCCAAGAAGAAGAGGGCCGTCCAAAAGCCTCACACCGAGTCAACACCGACAACATGAATATACACACTGTCACTATACAGCAGCGTCTCGAGATGCCGTTACAGTCAGATGCTATACAAATCCGAATTGTATCGTATACATGGTATTGTACACACAGCTACTGTACCACACGTGATATACATATGGGGCCATGGTTTAGACAGTTATAAAAAGGAGATCACACGGTCGCACGATCGGGTAACAGTGCCGCACTGAGCGCCGTGCGTATATCGGGGTCAACCACTGCGAGTGTTCCACACACACCCAGCAGCAAGCACACAGGGTCAACAGCACGGGTGAACCACACGCACACAGTGCCACACTCCCATGAACGCGGTGCCCACCAGTGCCACACTCGCGGTGTCACACGGTGGCGGCAAATGTCCACCCGGTGACGAGGCGCCATCCACAGTGGCACTGCTGCTCCAGTCGCTGATAGCTAACACCACGTGCCACGTTGAGACACCGCTCCACACGCACACTTCAGGGATGGTGACACAGAGCGACACATGCGATGTCCCCTTGTGAGAAAGGGTGACGAACTATCACAATCACACACCGACATGGAACACCAAGACACGTTCCACACAGGCACACAGTGCCACGTGCTGAGTGGCACGGTGCGTGTCTCCCAGTGGTGGACACAGTGACACGGTCACAACAACTTACTCATCAATCTTGATTATTTGAAGCTTTCGTGACTGCAGGAATCCATACTCTTTGTTTCTTTCGGTAAAGTCCACGTAGGTAGAAGAAAAAATAATAATAGATCACCACGTTTCTCCCACCTGAAGACGATTGCTTGTGTGGCGATCGAAACTTCGTGATCTATTATTGTTTCTACCTACGTGACTTATGAAAGATAACTTACTCATCGCTCCACAGAATGGTTGGCACAGTGAAATGGTGGCACGTGTATTACTCTGGAGTGAGACGAAGCGATACACTCAGATTTCCACACGCTGACTGACATGATACCACAGTGTTACGTAATGTCCCGGTCACAAGTGGCACTAAGAGCACCAAAGTGTTTCACGGTGATTTGGTATTCCACACAGTGCCACGCAAAGTGCCACATACTGTTACAGTGGCAAACACTATTACAGTGACCCACACACACCATTCCACAGTGATACGTGGTCACGCACATTTATATTGTCAGTGATCCTTTGCTGCACACAATTACTGTTCCTCACGCACTGGCACAGTGCCACACACCACATAGTGACACATTTCAAGTGACAAACTTCATACAGTGACACTCCCACACACACTGACGCGGGCCAACACGTAGCCCCACAGGGATACAGTGTGCCACCCACACTATTCAGGCATAGTGACACGGTACCACACAGTAGTGGCACTCAGCGAGACAGTAGTGACACACACACACAGTGACCCACAGCAGTGACACACACCGTGACACTCAATAGTTCCAGTGCCACACACCAGAACCACAGTGACACACACCATGCGATAGTAGCGTACAGTTATTCAACACAGTGAGCCATGCCCACTGAGTGACATCGTGCCAAACAATGACACTGTAAGCTACAAAAGTGCCACACGCTGCTGTAGTTACACACACAGTAGTGTCACACACACAGTAGTGTCACACACACACAGTAGTGTCACACACACAGTAGTGTCACACACACAGTAGTGTTACACACACAGTAGTGTCACACACAGTAGTTCCACACACACAGTAGTGTCACACACACAGTAGTGTTACACACACAGTAGTGCCACCCACACACAGTAGTGCCACCCACACACAGTAGTGCCACCCACACACAGTAGTGTCACACACAGTAGTTCCACACACACAGTAGTGTCACACACACACAGTAGTTCCACACACACAGTAGTGGCACACACACAGTAGTGGCACACACACAGTAGTGTCACACACACAGTAGTGTCACACACACAGTAGTGACACACACACAGTAGTTCCACACACACAGTAGTGGCACACACACAGTAGTTCCACACACACAGTAGTGGCACACACACAGTAGTGTCACACACACAGTAGTGACACACACAGTAGTGTCACACACACAGTAGTGGCACACACACAGTAGTTCCACACACACAGTAGTGACACACACACAGTAGTGACACACACAGTAGTTCCACACACACAGTAGTGTCACACACACAGTAGTGGCACACACACAGTAGTGACACACACACAGTAGTTCCACACACACAGTAGTGGCACACACACAGTAGTGGCACACACACAGTAGTGGCACACACACAGTAGTGGCACACACACAGTAGTGGCACACACACAGTAGTGGCACAGTATCACACACAGTAGTGGCACACACACAGTAGTGTCACACACACAGTAGTGTCACACACACAGTAGTGTCACACACACAGTAGTGTCACACACACACAGTAGTGGCACACACACAGTAGTCCCACACACACAGTAGTCCCACACACACAGTAGTGTGACACACACACAGTAGTGTCACACACACAGTAGTGTCACACACAGTAGTGGCACACACACAGTAGTGGCACACACACAGTAGTCCCACACACACAGTAGTCCCACACACACAGTAGTGGCACACACACAGTAGTGTCACACACACAGTAGTGTCACACACAGTAGTGTCACACACACACAGTAGTGGCACACACACAGTAGTGGCACACACACACAGTAGTCCCACACACACACAGTAGTGTGACACACACACAGTAGTGTGACACACACACAGTAGTGTGACACACACAGTAGTGTCACACACACACACACAGTAGTGTCACACACACACACAGTAGTGTCACACACACACACAGTAGTGTCACACACACACACACAGTAGTGTCACACACACACAGTAGTGGCACACATACACAGTAGTGGCACACATACACAGTAGTGTCACACACACAGTAGAGTCACACACAGTAGTTCCACACACACACAGTAGTTCCACACACACACAGTAGTGTGACACACAGTAGTGGCACACACACAGTAGTGTCACAGTAGTGGCACACACACAGTAGTGTCACGGTGTCACACACCGGCTCCCTGTAGGCTCCATCGGGCCCGATTCTCCGACTTGGGACACGGCGCCGCTTCGCCTCCCCGTTCACCGCCCCGCGCCTCTGCTGCTGCTGCTGTTGCTGCTGCTGCTGATGGTACTGGTGATGCTGAAGAGGGTGGTGGTGATTAAGATCCCCGTGCGTGACCAGGCGAGCAGGGTTATGGTGGCTTGTTGGCAGCCCCGGGCCGGGTTCCTGCTGCCCGCGGTGCTCCTCCTCGTGGTGTTGCTGTGGCTGATGTCGCCCCCCATCAGCAGCAAATCGCTGGCGGGACATGGCCCTCGCTCAGCTCCAGCCTCGTCCTGTTACCTCTTACCTCCTCCCGGCCCCCGAGCTCAGCCCCAGCCGGGTCCCAATGCGCCTCCCTCGGCTCCTCCTCGTCCCAGAGACCCGGGACTGAGCGGACGGTGCCGCCCGTGCCCGGATGCCTCCTCCCCTTCCTCCGCCTCCCTCGTGTGCACCCAACCCCCCTCAAAGAAGACAAAGATGCCCCGTGTAGCCTTAGCGGGGCTGCTGGGGCGAGTGCTGTTTCTTCATTAGCGAGTAGCAAGCACCTGTGAAGGCCGGAACTGTGGCACGCGACTGGGTGGGTGGCCAGCACCTCGCTCGGCCGCCTCTGTCACCACAGAGGGGCGATGTTTACGACGCACCGCGCCAGCCGCTCACTTTGAGGCTGAGTCGACCTAGGGGGAGGCCCAGGACCGGTTCAGATAATCTTCACCGGTGTTGGCCGTGAGCGGGAACCGAACTCGGATCGCCGGCTTCGTAAGCGAAACGCGCCAACCGTTCCACTACCGCTCCCCATTCAACCCCGTCAACTTGAACACCCCCGCGCAACGCTCACGAGTGGTATTGCCCACTTCAACCGTGGTGGCTCGCGCATTCTGGTTGGTCGGTGCCTTCGCACGTGACGGACGGAGCCGCTTCATTACAGACCGCACCAAGGTGTGAGCCCATGCAGGGGGATCGGGTGGGAATAACCACGGTGAGTTTAAAGCATTTGGGTTCATCATGCGACGAGCATTTGGGCTCTCAGGGCCGCTCTCTGATGTGTGTGTGCACCAGAGGTCACCTAGGTCGACTCAGACTCAAATGAGGACCTGGTGAAGTGTGTAAACATCGCCACTTGGGAGACAAAAGGCTGCCACGTGTGGTACAGGCCACACACTCCCGGCCCACGGCCTTCAAAGGCGCTCGATAACAGCACTTGTCCCCACAGTCTGTTCAGGCTATTGGGGGGATCTTTGTCATTAGTCACTTGATGAATGGGTCGAGGAGGTAGCTCCGTGATATAAGCTTTCACAGTGACTGCACAAAGACTCCCACAAAGCCATGATGAGAATGTAACATTATCCGTTCGATTGGTGTGTGATGGACGCTGTTGCAGTACAGATCCCACGCCAACTCGCAATCACACACCCACAACACGCAAAATGGCATGCAAATATTGTGTAGACGTCCAGAATAAACACCTCAAAGACCCTGGCCTATTCTATACCCCCCTGGTCTAACCATGGACCGCATCAGAAAATCAACTGGCCGATGCGTGCATCTCCATCGTCAATGGGAATGTGAAGACAAAGCCACAGTCGTGGGATCGTGGCCATTGCAACCCAAACTATGGACCACAGTAAACACATAGAGACGCTTAGCGCTACATAGAGACTCGTATAGACACACATACAGATACATAAAGACAAGCCACGGTGGTGCGATTGTGGCCATGGAAATTAAACTGGACCGCAGTTTTATTTCTGTGCTCCTTCCAACGGAGGAGGAACAGCAACACGACACGAACTCTCTCATGAAGCCCTCTGGTCGTGGCGAGCAGACCTCTATATATTTATGGCATAGACAAGAATAGAATAGCACCCCACCGCTAGTCCCTCGAACCGTGATCAAAGCGAGCAAGGGAAAGCCGCAGCAGCGTTAAAACATTTGAATTTGATCATGAAAAGCAACGCACCAAAAATGCCAAATGAGGAGAGTAGTCAGCGCACATTGCCTACCGCGAGCTTTTTCAGCGTGAAAAACACAAACGCTGTAAGGAAAATGTCGATGTTATCGATGCTTTTTGAGCCATCCCTACGACCTAAAAACTTTCTCCATCTCAACATGTTGGGATGGCCACATTGTCTCAAATGTTTGAGTTGGTGGCCGTAAATGCCTAAATGGCCACACAATTAGTTATTTTGAGCTGGTGGTCTGGATAAGGCTTTTGAACACCTGATGATGATTGCTTGTGTTGCAGTCGAAACGTCGTGAGAATTTAATTGTTTTATATTTTTATTATTTTATTGTTTCCCTTCTACGTGACTTTACCGAAAGAACCAATAATATGAATCCCTGCAGTCACGAAAGCTTTAAATCAAAACCTCTGTGCTGTTAAATTTGATTTGTTTTCAAGCCTGCAGTAATCTTTCTGTCTTGATGGTTATTTTTATCGTCATATACAACTTGGAACTCCCAATAACAATATACAATTATTAAGTTCTTAAAATTATGACCATCAATGTTATCTTATTCATACTCTTTGGTTATTTCGGTAAAGTCACGTAGGTAGAAAAATAAAAAATGTATACATTATTTTTGGTTTTATTATGTGATAGCTGCCTCACTGAGGGGGCGTGTCCTCTCCGAGAGGGGGCGTGTTCTCACTAAAGGGGGCGTGCCTGACACGCCCCCTTCAGTGAGGTGAGGCAGATGTGATAGCTGCCTTCCCTGGTGCTTTTTCATTGCAGTTTTATTACGAGACCAGCGAGCCTACATATCTTTATACACATATGTGAAATAAGTTAACTGGAGTATGGAAGGCAATGACATATAATGAAGGGGTATACAAACATTACATTGGTGACACAGAGAGATAGTAACAGGCACGCGCTTATTGCCCGCGCTCCATCCAGTTACTGAGGGGTTGCGCAATCAGAGGAGAGGCTGAGCTCGTCGCTGCCTCACCTCTCGTCTCTTCCTGTATTTGCAGCGGAGCTCCGCAAATTTGCCGATTTTGACTCTAAAAATGATTGGAATCATATATAAATTACATTTATAACACAGATCAGTAGAAAAATCTTAATATTTCTTTTATAATTTACTCTTCGTAACAGCTATTTTCATTGGAGTATGACAGGTGAGGCTCTGCCTCCCCTAACCGTACGTCCCTGCATTACAACCACAATACACTTGCGTTTTACAATGTGTCTCAACAGATGCATGGACTTCAAAACATTGACTTCATAGCTAACAAATGTGGATATAGTGTCGTGCACCATCATTACGATATTACTCACACTGTATTGCCACGATAGTTTATTTGTGACATTCCAGCCGTAGCCCCTGCCTCACACTGGAAGCACGACTTTGTTGTACCAGTAGTCGCAGTAGACGTCGCTTTTGGATTCGTGTCGCTTCGTCTGTCTCCGTGGCACTGTGGCAAGAGTGCCCGAATCGCAATCGGAGGACTGCAAACACCCGGGTTGGAGTCGATTCAACGTCTGGGGGTCACTGATATAAGTAATCCTCTGTAGGATGTCAGTCAACATTGGTCGGTCTATATTCAGCAAGAAGTGACCCACCCCTCCCCACCACCCATAAGAAGGTAGAACTCCCCCCGACTAGATCAAGGGCCACTGATGAAGATCAGCACCACCACGTTTACGTTATAAGCTCGCACTCATTACACCCAAAGTTCTTGCCACAAATGAACCACAATACCTTTCTGATCTCGTCAGAGAGCATGAACTATCAGCACGCGAACACTGGTCATCCTCACAGTGGCTTTTGGCTGGCCATAGGACAAAGGCGATCACCACATTGCGCGCTTTCAAATGCGCTGGGAAGCTCTTCCTTCCGCTATTAGGAAGCCACTGGAGCTATGTACTTTTAAATCTAGAAGTTCAACATGCATACATACAACATTGGTCAATAAGTAAAGAGACACTTTCACTCTTCACATAAGCGTTGTCGAACACAGCCCACAGTTTTTTGTCTGAAAAGAGTTTTCAGAAGAAAAATCCATAAATAAAGAAAACAACTGCTTATTTCATTCTGATTACATTGCCAAGTGATTGGGTTCATCCACGGTTGTTTTAGCACACAACGTGCAGCACGGTAGGCTTTCCCGTGGCCTCGCCCCTGGGATTGTTGCCTCCCGTACAATGGAATGCCACGTTTTGTAAAATGTTTTGCTGTGTGGATAATTAGACAGTGTACACTTAATATGAATGCATCTTTTACTCTTTTGAAATAGATTTTTAGAAATAGATTTTTAGAAATACTCACCAATTTATCAATTAAAAAGAATTACAATAAGTAATTGGTAGCAGAGGCATTTGGGGATCCTTATTGCGAACGCATGTAATTTCAGTACAGTATTATTAGAATTTTGAAAATTTTCAGAAATAACAGTGTGCATATGCCTACTGAAGACGTTTTCACGGTTGTGCTGTATAGCTTTTTGATGTTTTCGGTTTGCACTGCATGTTGTGTGGCATAATGTCCGGCGTTTCACTCCACGTGTTGGAAGCCTCTTGAGGAATTGAATATTCAGCTCATTCAGAAAATGCAGTTGTTCCTTCAGAAGCTCCCAGCACGTGGAGCTAAACGTCAGACATCATGCTGCCCAATAATACACTAGGAGGCGCTAGACTCCCAGCCATGAATAAAGCGCTCACAATCCACACGCTGCCAATTCGTAAACTTACAACCCAGAAATCACCATGACTCATTGACAGTGTCGTCGCGTGTGCTGTTGTGCGATAAGGGGTTGATATTTTAAAAGCAGTCATTGGGCACGGCCAATTGTTGCCTTCAGCACGCAAAACAATCATGACGGCCATGAGATTCAAAGCCGCAAAGGCGAGAAACTTACGGCCCGTCGCTTGGATTTTCCAAACGACTTCATTTCATGTTTATACATCACCACTACCAGCACCACCATTCGTTACATTATTGTTATAATTGGTATAACTTAATTATTATCAACGAATAAGACACAATTTTTGTATTTCCTCATCGGATGATGGAAGAGATGTAGACAAGATTTTGATTTGTATTTAGATAAGATAAATGTAAACAGGTTTATAGATATTCTTAGTTTTTTCGGTAAAGTCACGTTGAAGAGAAACAACAAAATAACAAAATATATATAAAACAATAAAAAATTCTCACGACGTTTCGACCATAACTCAAACGGTCATCATCAGGTGTGTCGGTTTGCATAAATTTATTTTGAAAACGGCATATTTATTTATTTATATATAATAAAAAAAATAACGTTTGCGTCACGCGCAACGATTGGCAGTTTGCCCAGGACTAGTCCATCTATTTTTTGAAAAGAGGAGGGGGGAGACGAAATTTGTTTTTATGTATGCTGTCTGAAAGCCACTGTAAGCGTGAACAATCAATCAAGAACTGAAATGATTTATCAAATCTTTCCAATGATTGCTAAGATAGAATCCATCTTCTCGGTTGAAATTGTCTCTGTGCTTGTATATGTGGATAGCCTCATGAACGAATCTCTCATGGAAGCCAAATGGCTTACAAAGAACCTCCGTCTTGGAAAAGTCAATGGCATGTGAGCCTACTGAATTAGAACAATGATCTGCTACGGCCGAGGTGTTGGTCCTACCGTGTTTAAGGTCTGCTTTATGTTCACGAATGCGGTCCGAGATATGGCGTTTGGTTTCTCCAATGTAACTACTACCACAAAGGCAACTTAGTTTGTAGACACCAGGGTATTGTATAAATAAATATGCCGTTTTCAAAATAAATTTATGCAAACCGACACACCTGATGATGACCGT